CATGTATGTATATGTATTAAAACATTATATAATGAAATTTAAAACACGGTTTAAACTACGGGGCGTAGTGATAAGACTACTGTTGTCTTCTTCTTGCTCCTGCCATGTAAATTCAATTTATACGATTCATTATTGTAACAATATTTAAACGGCAAATATATATATATATATATATATATATATATATATATATATATATATATATATATATATATATATATATATATATATATATATATAATATATATATATAAAAACTTTTTTTTTATCTTTTTTGTAATATACGGCAACAATATAAACGGGACTTGGCGTTAAGACAAAATGCCTTTTTTATGTTCCGGCCACTTATGTAAACAATAATTACATGCTACCAACGAACATAGAGAATAGTCCTTTTAAACAAAATTGTCTTTGTTACAGAATGATCTTTATTCTTAAACATTAACAATTTAGATAGGATTGTCATATAGCATTCACTGCAACATAAATTACCCGATATATTCTTAAAAATTTTTGCCATTTTCCTGGAATATATCCCTTATTAGTTTCTTTAGAAGCTTTTAACAAAACTGCTATTGGGAGTTAGTTACATAAATCACGTAGAATAAAACATCCTACGGTATTTGTGATTTACAAATAATTTACAAATAAAATGTGATTTACAAATAAAATGTGATTTACAAATAAAAAAAACGATTTACAAATAATTCAAATTCTTTTATTTGAAACTAGCATAATTTTATAACCATATTACGCCCAAACAAAAGCTTTATATGTTACAATTTTTTTTGCTTCAGGTTTTTTCAATATTTGAAAATACTTTTCTCTTTTTTATATACTTTTCAAAACCTTTTTACTACCCGTAATAGTGAATCTAAAGAACACCATTTTGGAGTCTTTAAATCAATTCAAGGATGACACTTTTTTTAAGTGGAGAAAGGTTCCATGTGAGCAGCATTTGGACATGGGTCAGTCGATCCTAAGAAATAGGGAAACTCCGTTTTTTTGTACGGCCCTGACACAGTGGTTAGAGCGCCTGCTTTATAAGCAGGAGATCCAGGTTCGAAACGAGCTCTGGACATATTTTCGCGTCACGGTAAGGAAGGAGGCGTGAACTTCCTGGTTAAATGCACTTCCGCGGTGCTTTGTGACAAGACCATTAGGTCTTCTTGGAGCACCTAAAAATAATAATAATAAAAAATTCTGCTCTTCAGGGTTAACATGAAATTAGTTCAAATCTTTTTAAAAAGTTCCTTAATTTAGTATAGATCCTAGTTCTAATCGGTTCTGACGTATATTAACTATATATAGTTGTCAAAATACAATATTTCTATCAATTTTTACAAAAAATACAAGAAAGAGCTTTTGATTAAGAAAAAGCGCCAATAAACGATCAGAACAGATCATATTATTAAACTATGTTCATTTTACCTAAAAAACGTATTTTTTAAAAGCTCATTCAAATTTTAGACAAGCGATTCGGATTTTAAGAAGATTTTTTTGGAAAAAGAGTCTGGGGTCTGAGTTTTTTCGCAACAAAAAATTTTTATTTTTTGACACCACAAAATTTATCATTTCAACTTTTTTCGTCTTTTTATAATTCGCAGACCTGATCATTTAAATAAACACATATAGCAAAAATAACACCTATTATATAACAAGCAAAAACAACACTTATTTTCAAATCTGGCGATCAGATTTGAAAATAGATCAGACCAATATTTCAAACTACAGACCAATCTCAGTCTTACCCTGGTTTTCTAAACTAATTGAACGCATTATGTACAACAGACTTTATAAATATCTATCTGAAAATAAGATTTTATATAATAATCAATACGGTTTAAAAAAAAATTATTCTACTGACCATCGAATAATTGAATTGGTTAAGCATCAAATGCATTTAATAGTGATTGCTATACAATAGGGTTTTTTTATTGATTTATCCAAAGCTTTCGACACAGTAGATCATGAAATTCTTTTGAAAAAAATAGAAAACTATGGTGTTAAAAATCAAAGTTTACTTTGGTTTAAATCATACTTAAATAACAGAAAGCAATTTATACTTAAAGAACCAAAAGATTCAAAAAACAACTTTAATAACTTGTGGAGTACCCCAAGGTTCTATTTTTGGACCATTATTGTTCTTACTTTATATAAATGACTTACATTTATCATCAAAAGTATTAAATACTATCTTATTTGCAGATAACACTAATTTATTTTATTCTCACAAAGATATAACTGTTCTTTTTAAAATATTTAACGAAGAATTAGATAAGATCAACGAGTGGTTTATAAGTAACCGACTATCATTAAATGTAGAGAAAACAAAATTTATCCTATTCCATAAACCTAGTAAAGCCGAGAATATTCCTCTAAAACTACCCAATCTTTTAATCAATAATAAAATAGTGTTGATAAACGGCGTAAATCTTCTTGCCTCCACTTTTCTTCCGCAGCAGACGGGTGCTACCTCTTGATCAATTTTTAGCGGCAAAATGTGCTTTCTTCCGCCTCCAGTGGTTTCCATTTTTCTATTGGCGGCCGCAGCCGGAGTTCTTTTTTGGAGGCCGACGCCAATAGAGTGGCGGAAGCCAATGGTGGCCGCATCCAGAAAATTTGGAGGCAAAGAAGAAAATTTGGAGGCAAAGCCGCCTCCAATGACATCTGCCTCTTAACTGGCTGCGGCCGTTAAATTGTAAAAATATTAGAAAATACTTTTGGCAGCAGGTTATTCTTATATTTATACATAAAAATTAATATTTGAAGGGAATTAAGTTTAGATATATTTAGTACACTAATGTATTTCATTATAGGGGAAGGATTTTCTAATCTGTTTAAATAGTTAATTGCCCTACATGCATGGTTTTGTATACTCTGTAATCTTATTAATTTAGTTTTGTGTGTGTTTGCCCAAACAATATTAGCGTAGGAGAGATGACAATGAACAAGACTGAAATAAAGCGTTTTAAGCGATTTATAATCAAGAAAGGCTCTAGATTTATATATCGCACTAATAGCAGAGGATATTTTTGTTTCAACGAGACTAATATAGTTTTTCCATGACAGGTTCTCATCGAATAAAACTCCCAAAAACTTTGTATGATTTACTCGACTTATTTCATTTTTATTAATTTCCAGTTTTGGAAGCCTTAACGGAAGATTAATCGATTGTCTTTTTTTGAGAGTAAAACTTGTCTTATTATATATAGTGGAAATATTTGAAAAACACAACATCTTTTAACATTATTAAAAATTTATAAAGTTAATTTATTTAACATTTATTTATTTATTACAACAAGTTTATTTCTTACAACAAGTATTTAACATTTGTTTCTAGTTAATATTTAATTGCTTTAAAACAAACGAGCAATTATTTTTCATTACATCCGCCGGCGAGAGGGAAATATTTCCGCCTCCAATTTGACGGCCGCAGCCAGTTAGGAGGCAGAAGTCATTGGAGGCGGCCACCAAATGGCTTTGCCTCCAAAATACTTCTGGAGGCGGCCACCATTGGCTTCTGCAACTCTATTGGCGTCGGCCTCCAAAACATTTTGCCTCCAAAAAAGAATTCCGGCTGCGGCCGCCAGTAGAAAAGCGGAAACCACACGAGACGGAAGAAAGAATATTTTGCAAAATTTATATATTTTGTTTAAACACAGCTATCTTTCATACTGTAACATTTCCTGGGGTAGCACTAATCACACTAAACTCAAAAAAATTTATAGTAAACAAAAACATGCTTGCAGGATAGTATTTGGGGCAAATAGAAAAACACAATGCGAACCTCTCTTACGTCTTACGCTTGGAGCTTTAAATATTTATAAGCTTAATATTCATCAAGTAATGTTATTTATGTTTAAAGCAAAACTTGAGTTTTCTCCATTAAGATTTCAATCCTACTTTAATGAAATCTCCCATAAATATCCAACCAAATTTTCAGTGAATAATTTTGTGGTTCCCATAAACCTTCTTAAATTAAGTTCGTACCAAATTCAATATCGGGGACCTTTAGTTTGGAAAAAATTTCTTCCAATCTTTAATAAAAAACAAAACTTCGTCTTAAACTGCACTTTGTTAAGTTTTAAGGATGATTCAAAACGGCATTTACTGAACACGGAATTCGATATATTAGATTTCAAATATCTTTTTTGAAAACAATTTAAAGGTTTAAACTAAATCACTTAAAAATAAATTAAATCTTTAACACTTTCTTTAGCTTTTATTAAAATGGTTTCAAACTATTAGTATAAAAGATAACGAAAATAAAATTGTCTTTTTCGTTTATATTTTTGATAATATTAAATAATCAGCCCAAATACTTATGTTTACATATTGTTTTTTTTTTTTTTTTTTTAATTAAACAACGCATTTTTTTTGTGCTTTTATAACTTTCATGATTTTCTGTCGTTTTTACTTTTTTATTTTTAAAATTATTCTGCTGGAAGATTGTTAGCAACAAATTATTTTATTGCTGAAGTTTTTTGTTTTTGTATTTATACTGTCTTTTATCATTTATTGTGCATGTAAATTTTTGTGTGACGGGGGTCGGTGATAAGACAACTTGTCTTCTGCTTGCTCCAGCCAGGATTTTCTTTTATTGTAATTTCTTTTCTGTAATATTTATCAACGGCAAAATAAATAAATAAAAAAATAAAAAAAAAAAATTAACGGAAATATGTAATAGTCAACAAAATATCATGCAGACGCTATAATATTTTAAAACTGCTTTAGCGGATGAAACATTATCACAAAAAAGGCATTAAAAAGCTTAAATTCCAAAAATCACTAATTTTAGAATTTAATCTTTTTGACCACTAGAGTGGTCAAAAAGATTTTAGGTTTTTGGGTTCCCCACATTTTTTTTTGTTTAAAGAAGTTTAAATAAAAGTTTTATAAAAGCATACTTTTCAAAATTAAAATTTACCTAGAGATGAATCAGTGATTAGATAATTGAATGATTAGGGGGTCAATAGGGTAAACAAAAATTATTCAAATGAATCCAAAAACATTATTTAATTAAGATTCGTCTAAATTATCATCAACTGTTCGTTTTCGGAACTTTTTGTTGGTAATAGTTTTCTTAAAAATGATTGGATCGACAGATAATACATCCTTCTTATCAGAGCTATCATCCTCGTCTTCTTCATCCTCATTAAAACTTAAATCTATTTTGTTTACTGTAGATGAATTCAGGTGATTCGGCTTTGGTAATTGTTTTGAATTTGATGAAATTTCACCAAACTCAAATGTGTTCATCACGTGACTGAGTCCATTATGAACAGAACCAGAGGGATCTTTTTGCGTAGCAAAATCTTTTCGTTCACTTGGTTTCGTAAAAACAGGATTAATTTGGTTTGTATCTTTTTCTAGTTGACAATCACTCTTTCTTTTTTTTAAAGATTCTAAAAAACCGAGAGCCACTTGTCGATTTAAATCGTCTGGAGACAAACCATACGGAACATTTGAACCATCTTCTTCTAAACTATTAAAAAATAATAAAAAAGCAGATTAAGTAAACAAAAAGTTATTAAAATCTTGATGAAAACATTGTTATAAAACCGAAAATAACGCTAAAATAACGGTAACGAAAAATTTGGCTATTGTTACCTTTACAAAAAATATACGCTAAGGCGGTTCTCCACAAGAAAAATTATTCGCGCGATGCGAGTTTTTTCGTCAATAATATAAGCACGTGCAGATGATATTTTCTGTATCAAGTGTTACGCTGCAGCAAAAAAAATAAATAAAAAAAATTCATTAATATTCGTTCTGTTTAAAAAAGATTTGTCCTTACTAAAAGCTTTTGTAAAATAAAGTTTTTGTATTTCGTTCAATTAATGATAGATTCAAATTATTTGAATACAAAGAACAACAACAAAAAAAGTTAATAGAAAACACTAATAGTCGATTTAACAAACACATTTATTTTTAAAGTAATTCTTTAGTTTTTTACATGTTAGTATTTAAATATTTTTTTAAAACTAAATTTTAAAAGTTTATCAAAAGTTTCATTAAAACTAATAAAAAAATTTTAATTTATTTTTTTTCATTAAATTAACATTTGGGGGCCAAATGGGTTGCCACATCCTGCCCAAGGAAAACTGTCGCTGGGCATGAACTGGGGCCCAAGTGGGCAGCCCATATGGAATACATATGTGGGACCCACACGGGTCCTACTTATTAATTTATTTAAATTTTTTACAATATTTTGAAAACTTACTTATTTCTTTTTAAATTAGATACATATAATTTAATACGTAGTGATATATATGTCACGTGAGTCGAGCTTTACAGAAGTAAAACAGGAATTCAAGCATAGAAAGAATAATAAACATAGAAAATCAAACATAGAAAGAATAATAAACATAGAAGCAATAATAAATATTTATAAATATACCACACTATTTAAATAATAAAGTTGTAAAAGTAATAGTCTTATATAAATAAGTAAATTCAAACCTTTTTTTAAAGTTTAATCAAGCCTTAATTATTAAAGAACTCTTCAAGACGTGTCATTTTATATACATTTTTGCTTGTGGGTTTATAAAAACTCAGATAGTGTACACACTTTCAAAAACTTTTTATACATAAAAAAAAATAATTTTCAAAACCAATTTAAAACTCTTTTACTACCACTAATACATGATATTGATAGCACTATTACGTCTTTAAAATGATTCGACTTTAAATAAAAAGAAGATTTTTTAAAAAAGAGTTATTATGAATTTAGTTTAAAATTTGAGAAAAGCTTTGAGACATAATTACATTTGAGAAATGCAAAGGGGTTTTCATAAAGTAAGTTCGGTAGTGTGATTTATACTCCTCCAGCTAATTGCCTAGCGGAGTACCTCATACTGTCGCGCGCAAGATCGGATGGCATTTAAATTTAGAAAATAAGATGGAATTTAACGCTTTTTTAACTTCATATATGGGCCCTAAATGGGCCTCATATGGGCTAGCTATTGAATACAAAATTTTAACTACATATATGGGCCCCGTGTGGACTAGCCCTTGAATGCAAAATTTTGTATTCGAGGGCTAGCTGTAGCCCTCGAATACAAAATTTAACACGTTTGAACAAGCACATTACTTGTTCAAACGTGTACATTACTTGTTCAAACGTGTACATTACTTGTTCAAAAATGTACATTACTTGATCAAACGTGTACATTACTTGTTCAAACGTGTACATTACTTGTTCAAACGTGTACTTTACTTGATCAAACGTGTACATTACTTGATTAAACGTGTACATTACTTGATCAAACGTGTACATTACTTGTTCAAACGTGTACATTAAGGTGAGTTTCCACTCATCCGTTTTTTCACGGGAACTGTTAAGGAAAGGGAAAATTAGTCACGTGAGCATGCGTAGTTTTCCTTCGGACATATTAAAACTTATACTACGCATGCCCACGTGATTATTTTTCCCGTTCCCGTAAAAAAACGGATGAGTGGAAACTCGCCTTTACTTGTTCAAACGTGTACTCGATTAAACAAAAGCTATGAATAAAAATATCAATTTGATAAATTACTTTTTTAAATAAATAATTAGTCTAAAAATGATATACTCCACATTTTTTAGAAATGTTTAAATCACTAACGAGTTTAATTGATTTTTCTGATTCTGTTAATTCTTGGACTGATACATGATACAGTTGCCATATTATTAAACTTAACAAGAAAAAAACAAATTTACGCCGTAAATATGATTTTCGTATACAATTTTTTATCATTTGAGGTCATTTTACTATGAATAAATAGAAATCAATGTTTATTAAAAAACAAATACATATATTTAAAAGATAATAATGGAAAATAATAAAAAAAAATCCTGGAAGAGTTGAATAGCTAATATTTTGTATGATGTCTCTTTGCTACAATTACGCTTTTTATGCGCCGTGCCATGCTCAAAATTCACTTTTTAACCATTGTTTGCAGGTCTTCACTGTGGTTCCTACACATATACAAGTTTTTCAATCAACTCCTGTTTTATTGTTATTGTGGTTTTAACCATTTCCCACTTGAGCAGCGCCCATATATTCTCAATTGGATTTAAATCCAGAGAATTTCTGGGCCAATCCAAGACATCTATATATTTTTTAAAACTTTGTAATGGTTTTAACCTTGTGACATGGTGCCCCATCATGCATAAAAATGCATTTTTCTTCATTTGGAAACCATTGCGCCAATTGTGGTATTAGTCTATTATTAAGAATTTTCCAATACTGATCTTTTCTCATTGTTCTTTATACTATATGCAGCCTTCCAGTACCTTGAAAATAACTTAACGACTACACCATGTCGGATGTAGGATGCTTTACGCTTGACACAATGCAATCTGAGTAAAATTTTTTACCCACTTTTTTCCCAACAAAGCTAGATTTGCCACTCATAACTTGAAAAATGCTATCATTTGAATAATAAACCTAAACACAAATAAGGTTTAAAAAGATACCAAAATTAAGTTAAACTTTACAATAAAAGATTTTATTCAGCATTACTTTATTGCAGTCATCCAATATGACGTCTTTAGACGTTTAGTCCGGTTTATACGTTTCTTTACCATAATGGATATTAACTGTTGGCCAACATGAAGTTAAACCAAATTTTTTTAGGTTTCAGAACTGTTTGTGGGAAATATTGATTCCCTGTTCATTAACAATCTTGGTCAATAGGTTGAAAGGGTGTTTTCTTTGTTGTAGACAAATACCCCTAATTTTTCTGTCAGTTCTGAGTGTTGTTAACCTTTTTCTGCCACAAGCACCTTTACGAGCAGGTTGTAAAGGATGTCAAAATCAAGTTTTTGCTCCACTCTCTTCACTGTGCTTTGAGAAATGTTGAATATCTCAGCTATCTAATATTGCGACATGATTGTATTTTTTAATAAGCCACGAATTTCACCTAGTTTTCAAGAAGAAATATCACATGCCCTCCCCATTGCTTAAAAAAAGAAGAGAATATTCAATAAGATTGTGTACTTATCCATAAAAAAAATAATTTTACACATTTTTGTTTAGAAAACGTGAGTATTAAGATATACACACCTTTGTGATTAATAAAATATACGATATTAGTCACAAAATAATATTCACAACAAGGTATTCCAATAATTTTGTTTGTAGAAAGAAACACCTCACACAAGCATTCTATGCAACGTTCTGTTCAAACTGTCAACATATGGTAAGAATGACAATAAAAGATATGAGCAATGTTGTCATTTATGAAATAACTTCTTTGGTAATGTTGCCAAAGTAAAAAATAATGAACAAAAAAAAGATTATGCAAGGAGCAAAAGTTTTTAGTAGTGTTATGTCTGTTTTTTTCTCTAAATCTAATAATATGGCAAGCCACTGTAATTTCCAACCAAATGTTGATAAAAACCAAATTGTATCTCTAAACAGTCTGTTTGAAAATTTCCTTTCAACACATAGGAAAAATGCAAATTAATTAACACATATTGAATCAGTTAATTAAAAGTTATCACAGTGTATTTTAAAGCGAAAATGTTTGTTTAATAAGTCAGCCATGCCTGACTTTTTGTTTAAAATTTTTACATCTTTGAAGCCAAAAGATAAAATCTTTAAAAAGACAAAAACAAACATTGTTTGAGTCATTGAATACAATCATTATTTTACTTGGAAATTCCTTTACCAAAAGAATTAATATTAAAAAATTTTTCATAGTTATATAATTAAAGAAACAAACTTATGAGTTCCACAGAATAAGAAATAAATAAGTAGAAATTATAAATAACAGAAATATAAAGAAAGAAATAAGTAAACTTAGATAAGTTGTATAATTAAAGAAATTATAAACATTAAAAAAAAAAAAAAAATAAGTTATATCTTTTTTTTGTTTATTTTCAAAATGCAATAATCAAAATGCAACAGGCTACTACTGCTATTTTGTCGTCAAAAATTTTATTTCTAACTCGCTCATATAGATTATTTCAATTAAATTGATTGTTAAAACATAATCTGAAATGGACATATTTTTATTACCAGGGAAAAATTGTGTTAAAATAGTAGATCCAATAAGAAAGTTTAATTAATCATTAATCTTGGTCAGTGCTACCTATTTCAAATTACCAGAAAAAATTTCAACAAGGTATTGTGAACTTTTAAAGATAGTGAGATTGTTGATATATCTATATCATCAGGCTAATACAAATAGTTTGGTTTATGCAAAACAACTCAATCAGGTGTATAATTCACAACTACTAATCTTAATGGACGCCAAATCGTTAATTTAATCCGTTATCATTACTCAAATCCATAAATAAGTCACCTTTGGATTTGTTAGAAATTTAAAAAATACAAACTTTTTTATGCAGATTGATACTGAATAGTTAGATCTAAAGCCAATGACACAACAGAGTTGAAGCATTTTAGAACCTATGAAGTGTTCATATAATTTATATAATAGCTTATGTAATGAATACATTTATATATAAAAATTAGGGATGGCAATCCTGGGATT